TTCCCCCCACCCCCACCCCCCACCAAACTACAAACTTGGTATCAAATCAGAGTTTGAAAACATGTTATAAGGTGAATTACTGCTATCTAATTTGTAACTACTTTTTTGGTGCTAGGAATCAAACCCAGACCGCATACATATTAGACAAGCACTTGACTACTGAGCTACACCCCAACCCTAATTCTATAAACTCTATAATAAGATCTTTTTTTGTTTTTATTTATTATTTTTATTTTATGTGTATGAGTGTATTGCCTGCATGTATGTGAGTGCACCCGTGTCATGCAATGCCACGGAGGTCAGAAGAGGGCTTTGGATTCCCCTGGGAACTGGAGTTAAGGATAGTTAGTAGCTGCCATGTGGGTGCTGGGAATCAAGCCCGGGTCCTCTGTAAGAGCAGTCAGTGCTCTTAACCACTGAGCCATCTCTCCAGCCCCAAGATTTTGTTTTTGAAAAAGTAGGACTGAAATAAAATTCATCTCTGAATGTAAAAGTGTATTATTTGTCTTGACAGCTTTAAGTATTTGATAAGCCACCATGAAAGTCTAATACTACAATCTACTCATTTAATTCACTCAGTCAGTATGTTGAATGTTTGCAGTGTACTGCTTGGATGTTGTTTTATAGTTTATAAATGCTTTTATTTTGTTTTCTGCCCTTGAATCCACATTTCAGCCCTCTTTGTAGTTGAATAAACTATAGATAGATAGATAGATAGATAGATAGATAGATAGATAGATAGATAGATAGATAGATAGATAGATAGATAGATAGATAGATAGATAGATAGATAGATAGATAGATAGATAGATAGATAGATAGATTAGATAGATTAGATAGATTAGATAGATAGATAGAGATAGCCTGAGGGCAGTTAGTAGCTGATAGAATCTGAATACTAATGTGCTTCTCGCTATGTAGCTCAGGCTGGCTCTTGTCTCAACCTCCTGAGTGCTGAGATTGCAGGTATGCACAGCCAGGACTGGCTTAAGAGGTAGGATTCCCTGTTTACCAGGCGATTCTCTGATAAAGATAATATTCTGCATGTAACTTAAATCAGATTTTCAAAAAAAAAAGTTTTTAAAAGGATATGCTCTCCTAATATGATCTTGTTAACAGTTCAAAAAGGATCTTTATACATTATTTATCTTTTGATTAAACAGTTCAGACTAGCCCACAGTACATTTCTGTGGGCAAAGAAATTTTCATCACACCAAAATTGGGTATCATTTTTAGCCTTGACAATCTTGGGTTTTTTGTTTTTTCCTCCCCTGCTGCAGTCTTCCTTTCATGTTATTTTTAACGACTTTTCACCAGGTCATTTTAAATCCAGAACAGTTCATTGTGGGCTCTTTGAAATTATATTCCACAGCTGTATGTGAAGATCTCTATCTCCTTTATGTATTAATTATATACAGCCTGGTTTTTTTACTCTGCCACACAGTGATTTGCTGCATATGACACTTGTCCATTCATTTGAGAATACTGAGAGCATAGATAGAGTATGGAGTTCAGACCCTAAGAAAGTGGAACTGTGATACTTCATATGAGAATACATATGCACAAACAGAAAAGATATCATCATTCCCCAAAAACCATCTCATTTTTGAGAGAAGGGATGCGTGCCCTAAGTATTTCTTCTTGGAGGGGCAAAACAAATATCTTGGTAGCATTTGTATGTGCTAGAGAGGTGTGTCCAGCAGGGCTTTCATGCTTGATGTTCTCTCCCCTGGTCACACACCTACCAGACAGGTCTGCGTGAATTTGGCGGGGACCTAATCAAACCTCTCTTGGCTTTAGGCAGTTCTTTTCCTAATGTCCCCCATTAGCTACAGTTATTCAACCACCATCAAATGTTCTGTGATTTTAATTTTGTTACTTCACAACAAAATTCATTCTAAGTTGAAAGGGCTGTGGTAGAGGGAATGGCGTTTGATGACAAGTTTGCATATACCACCAGTAGAGAGTCTGAGCAATAGGGATTGGGTTTGAATCATGATTCCTTCACTTACCAAACCTCAGACAAATTATTTAACCTCTTATGCCTGTTTCTCATCCACAAAATAATTACAGCAAATCTATCTTATATATATATATATATATCTCAATAGAACAATATACTTCCTAGCACTTAGTAACTACTATGTGTTTGTTTTTATTAGTCAAGTGTTCATGGCTGTTAACTATGGAGAATATCGGGTCTGTTTTTGGTGTTTTTTTTTGTTGTTTTGTTTTTTGTTTTTTAAAACAGGGTCTCATATAGCTCAGCCTGGCATCTGACTTGCTGTATACCTGAGGATGACCTCCTACTGCCATCTCTTGAATGTGGCAGTTGCAGGTGTATGCCATCATACCCGGTGTTATGTGGTGCTGGGAATCAAAACAGCTTAATGCATGCTGGGCAAGGCACCCTACTATCTGAGCTATATTCCCAGTCTGAGCTTTTTGGTTTCTATACAGTGAAACAGAAAATAGTTTATCCAAAGAAGGCAGTGTCCCACAGTTCACAAAGGATCAACCCTGCAATAACATTCTAGAATAAAAGAATGTTCAGTCTGATCTTTCATGCTTTATCACCCTGACTCCAAGTCCCTTTGACTCTCTCACACTTAGACACACAAAAGAAAAGTCACAGTATAAATGGATGGATGGATGGTGGATGGATAGATTCATTTTTATTTTTTTAATATTTTTTATGTGTATGAGTGTATTGCTTGCATGTGTATAAGTGCATCCATGTTGTGCAATGCCCATGGAGGCCAGAAGAGAGTGTTGGAGTCCCTGGAACTCGAATTACAGATGGTTGTTAGCCACCATGTGGATGCTGAACATAAACCTGGATCCTCTGTAAGAGTAGCCTGTGCTCCTAACTGCTGAGCCATCACTCCAGTCCCATGAATGTTTTTTGTTTGTTTGTTTGTTTGTTTGTTTGTTTGTTTGTTTGTTTGTTTTAAAGGAAACCCAAAGTTAGGAGCATTTAGAGAACTTAGTCGGGAATTGCTTTTACCATTAAGTAGTTGTCTGGTAATAGGGTCAGAAAGTTAACCAAAGATCAAGTTTGTCCTTTAGAAAAGGAAAAAAGATACTGGTAAACTTGTATTATAGATAAAAAGACCATCTTGGGCCAGTGGGATGGCTCAGTGTGTAAAAGATCTTGCTGCAGCATAAACCTAGCCTAACAACTGAGTTCAATTCCCAGAACCCACAATAGAAGAAAACTAGCTCCTAAAAGTTGTCCTCTAACCTACATACACAAACTGAAACAAATACATATTTTTTTTAATTTAGAAACTTACTGTAAAGGTAAGTTTTATGATTTTGTAAATCAGTTGCTAAAAGGTTATTCATTACTTGAGTTTTCTTTTTCTTTGTGCTTTCTTCTAAAATCAGGTAGCTAGGGCTATGAATGTAGATCGGTTGGTGAGGTGCTAGCTTAGTATGTCTGAAGTCATGGGTTCCATCTCCAGCACCACATCAGAGGCACCACACATACCTGTAATCCCAGTGTTTGGGAGGTAAGAAGCAAGAGGATCCAAAGTTTGAGGTCATTGGCTGTATTATCAGATTTGAGGACAGCCTGGGATACATGAAGCTGGCTTCACACACATGCATGCACGCACGCATGCACACACGCACAAGGAAGAAAGGAAATAAAACATCAAGTAGTCATTTGTATTTTCTCATAGTTTTTGTTTTTAATATTTATATTAAATCCACCAGTATTTCATTTTCCTGTCTATTTTGAGGTAAGATTAACCTGGTTCTTTTTTTCTAGGATGAAGCAAATTGCTCATCTTTTTTAATAGTCCATTTTTTTCCCCACTGCAAAAGTACTAAGCCATTTTGTTCAGTTTATGTTATACTAATTTTCTTTCTGGCTTACTGGTTTTTGGATTCTGTTTACTTTGGTTTTGAGATGATCTCATTGTATATCGAGCTGAGAACTTACAGCCCTGCTGCCTCTGCCTTCTGAGTGCTAAAGTGACAGGAATTCTTACCACGCCCAGCAGAAATCCCTTCTGTATAACACTCAGTCACCCTTCCAGAAGCATTATATTGATTTTGTTCACATCAGTAGTGTTCTAGTAATGTGCTTTTTCTTCCTGTAGTTTTGACATTCATTGTTAAGATTATTCACAGATATTTTGCATTTTTGTTCATAGTAAAACATTTTTACTGTTAAAACTGACATTATTAACTCCTATGTTGGTTTGCTTGCTGTACCAGGTATGAAGAAAAAATCAATGAAATCTGCAAAGGACAACACATCTCCAGAGGAAGAAACTGAAATAGAGAGACAGAAGGTAGAATGTGATCATGTTACAGTATGTTTAGAGATCACTGATACGTGCAATTTAATGAAGTGGTTCACATGAATTTTCATTTTTTCTGATTTCAAAAATGATTGATTTTTACCAACAAAAATTGTAAATTGTAAAGTACATAAATATCTTAGCCACTTGTTTTTTTTTTTATGTATATGTGTGTCTTGCCTGCATGCATGTAAGTCACCCGTGTTGTGGAGTGCCTGCAAAGGTCAGAAGAAGGTGTCAGATCCCCTGAACTGGAATTACAGACATTTGTAAACAGCCATGTGTGTACTGGGATTTGAACCTGCGTCTTCTGCAAGAGCAGTACTGGTCTTAACTGCCTCACCACTTGGTTTTTAAATATTACCTTTTTTTACGAAGCACTATGTCTCCAGCTAGTATGAAGCTAGAAATTTTTACCTTAAGCCCAGGTGTATATATCCCTTTTATGATTAAGAGCAAATTTTTTCATTAATACGCTATAGTACAACTGAAGCAGAATTATTAAAACCTAAAAATAGGGCGCTGGAGAGATGGCTTAGTGGTTAAGAACAATGGCTGTTCTTGCAGGACACCCAGGTTCAATTCCCAGCACCCACATGGTGGCTAACAACCATCTGTAACGCCAGTTCCAGGGGAATTCAATGCTTTTCTCTGATCTCCTTCAGGCATTGCACAACACGACTGCATACATGCAGGCAATACACTCATACACACAATGTATAAAATTTTTTTTTCTTTTGGTCTTTTTGAGACAAGGTCTCCCTGTAGCCGTGCTGGCCTGGATTCACTAAGGGAGACCAGGCTGGCCTCGAACTCACAGAGATCCTCCTGCCTCTGCCTCCCGAGTGCTGGGATTAAAGGCACGCACCACTACACCTGGCTTTAAATAAATAAATTTTTTTTAATCTAAAAATAATATTTCTGAATCCTTCAGTTCTGCTTGACTCTCCTCTAATACAGATTTTTCTATTACTGCTTTTCACATTCTAAGTTCTCTTTGTTAGTGAGCATAAGCTTAATGTACTAATTGAGAATCTTCATTAGCAGTGTAGTAGCCTGTCAGGTGTGGTGGCACATGCTGAGTTCAACGCCAGCCTGGTCTACATAGCGAGTTCCAGGCCAGCTTGGGGGCTACAGGGAGACCCTGTCTCTAAAAGATCAAAAAAAGAAAGAAATGCAGTAGCCTTATGCCTCGGGGGTTCAGGGCTCTAAAATCAGATCAGCTCTGCTAAGACAGGTACTGGAGCCAGCAGCACCCCTGCACCTGATGTTCATATCACTCTCTGGGAATGCGTCTGACTAGCCACTGAAACTGCAGCTTGATGGTATCTTTCTGTTCTCTATCTGTTAAACATAGATGTAATACTCTTAAAGTTCTTCAAAGAACAACAAAGAAAATCTTTGGTCATGGAACATGGGTATAAAATGGAGTCTCATGCAAGTGCCAGTGATAGAAGGCAAGGAAATTAAAGCACTTAGTGGTAATACAGAAAGATTGCAGGATTGGGAACATGCTTTGTATTTGCCTCAGTGCTTGTGATTGTTCACTCGATTTTTGAGGGGTGTCTGTAATTGTATGTGTATTAGTCAGGGTTCTCCAAAGAAACAGAACCAGTAGAATGAATATGTATAGAGATTTATCAGCTTAGCTCACAGGATAGAGTCTGAGTAGTCCAACAATGGCTGCGCCACACTGGATAAGCTCAGAATCTGGTGTTGCTCAGTCCAGAAGGCTGGATATGTCAGCAGTCGCAATCTGGCTCTGAAGGCCTGAAGGATTTCTGGAGATCTGCTTCAGAATCTAAAGAAGTTGGTTCTACTATCAGGAGAGAGAAGGCAAGCAGCAAGAAGCCTGGCGTTCTTCTCTGCCTTGGCCTTTTATACGGGCTGCCATCAGAAGGTAACACCCACATTTAGGGTGTGTCTTCTGGCTTTAGATGATCCAATCAAGAAGATCTCTTTCATTTCAGTTAATCTCAGATCCAATCAAGTTGACACCCAGGATTAACCATCACAGTATGTAAGTAGAAGATAGATATTTAGTACAGTCTATACTAGATTTCAGAAGCAGATTTCAGATGTTGAATCTGCCTTCATAGAAATGCATCAATATTGAAAGAGGGGAGGAAAAAAAAAAAAAAGAATTTCCCCTGGTTGTTAAAGTAATATTTGGAAACTAATTGTATCACAAAATAAAATTTGGAGCATTGTTTAAAAAGAGCAAGGTGAAAGTGACATATATTTCACAGACTTGTGGTAATCAGTTACTCAACACAAATTAAAGTCTGGTTTTTTAACAGTCACCTCCCCAGTGCCTAAGAAAGAGCCTGGCTGTCTACCTAAGCTGTGTATCTTCTGCCTCTTCCTATACCCTGTTCATTGCTTGTAACTAATACTCAGTGTAACAGTGAGGGGAAAACTTTGTTGTAAGTTTAAACTTCTATTTCTCTCCGTAGGCTGAAATGGCTTTACTTGTGATGGATGAAGAAGAAGACAGCAAGACACATTTCAATTATGACAAGATTGTGGAGCACCAGAATCTGAGCAAAAAGAAGAAAAAAAAGCTTATGAAAAAGAAGGAATTACTTGAAGATGACTTTGAGGTAACCAGCCACACAAGTCTTTATTAGATTCTTAAAGACGGGATTGAATCTAAAGTTGGCTTTGGAGATAAAAATTAGACAGGGTCAAAGTTACCCTTGAAAATGTCGTGTGAAGTGTCGTAGTGGAGCCAAACCTACCATCTTTGAGTCTAGCGCAGCTCATCCCTGGGGTGGATCATTTCATAGTTTCTTTACTTGAGAAATGAAATAGTCAACATATTTGGTAGCCATGTTACAACAAAATATGTAGCTTTTGAGTGTTAAAATGACATGCAGTGATGCTCATGCTGTGAAGGCTGTGCTTGATAAGCTTTGCTGAAGCATAGGTTTCCAATAATTAACCTGGAAGAAAAGATGGGATTTTGAATTTGGTCAAAGAGTGGAGGGAAGCTTCTTTGTAGCAAATGAAGGAACTGCAAGGCCTCTATTAGCTCCACTTGTATGAGTTGTTTTCATATATGTTTCTGTTCTTAAAAGTTTTTGACAAACTGGTGATGGATGAAGAATGGTTTTCTTATGAAAAAAACAAAGAATGATTGTAATCAAATCATTTACTTTATTGTAAGATTTAAGTCCTATAAAATTTTGCTTGCCTAAGCCTGGTGTGGTGGCACACACTTTTAGTCCCAGCACTTGGAAGGCAGAGGCAGGCGGATCTCTATGAGTTTAAGGCCAGTCTGGTCTATATAGCAGGCTCCAGGCCAGCCAAGGCTACAGGGAGACCCTGTCTCAAAAAAGACCAAAAAAAAAAATTGTTTGCCTGTATGAAATATGTACCTTGTGGTGTCTGCGAGAGCCCACGGAGGCCGAAAGAGGACAGTAGACTCATATGGGTGCTCTGAACCACTCAGCCATATCTCCAGGCCTTCAAATATTTATTTTTATGAGCTCTACCTTCATACGTTAAATAATCATGAATAAAAGTATTTTTCATGGGGCCAGTGGGATGGCTCAGCAGATAAAGGTACTTTCCACCAAGCCTGACAACCTGAGTTCAGTCCCCATGTCACTGACTTCCACACACACATACATACAAATAAATGAATGTAATTTTAATTAAAAGAAATACTTTTCATGAGAGTTAGGGAGATGGCTGAGTAAGCATGAGGACCTGAGCTTGGAACCCCAGCACTATAAGGGGAGGAGATTGGCAAATCCCGGAGGCCTATTGCCCAGCCAGGTTCAGTAGAAGAGTCAAGATAGAGAGCATTAGATGAAAACACCTGATGTTAACCTCTGGTCTCTAAATGTGTACACACAAGCATGTTCACATACACATACAGACACACACAGCTATTTTTCATAAGATTTTCTTTATTATTCTTTGTATGGTGTCTCTTGGTGTCACTGTAACTAAGTAAAGCTGGGGTCCGTCTCCAGGTAGACTTCAGTTTCTCCTTTGATGCTCTCTCCTGAGCCTGGCAGTACTCAGAAGCCTGGCTGGAGTGAAGGCTGCACTTTTTTTTTCTTTTTTTTTGGGGGGGGGGCTTTTTGAGACAGGGTCTCCCTGTAGCCCCAGCTGGCCTGAACTCACTATGTAGATCAGGCTGGCCTTGAACTCACAGAGATCCACCTACCTCCTGAGTGCTAGGATTAAACACGCCCAGCTGAAGGGTACACTTTTAAAGTTGCAATCACATTTTTATAGAAAGATACAAGTTGCAGTTTGTATCTAACCAAACCTTGGTTTCAAGGGTGAGTTTTTGTTTGTGGGTACTGGTTTAGAGGTTTGTGGTCTAGTGAGTATTGAACCTAGGACTTCAACATATGCCTAGGTTAGTACTCTACCATTGAGCAACATCCAGTGTACAAAACTGCCTTTGTACATTGTAGTTTGAGACGTTTTGCTCAATAGCCAAAGCTGGTCTTGAACTTGGAACCTCCCTGAATCAGCCCCCTGAGTAACTTGAGTTTTTCAGGCCTCTGCCACCAGTAGCTACTTATTCTTGGCACCAAGCTTAAAATTTCTTGAAATGTACTCAGAATGTAGTAACTGAATGAATTGTAAGATACATGTCCTAATTGATTTATTTATGATGAACAGTCAATTTTATGCTATAAGCAAGGGGAAGCCCTGCCTTACAAACCTCTACTCAAAGTGGTCATCATAGTCACAGACCACAATCCACACACCACCCTCCCTTTTAAATTGATTGTTGTGGGAGAACAGCACACCCTGCACATTGTGGTCCAGGGATAGGCCTTGAAACTCCACTGAGTACCCTAGGTGTGGTGACATGTACCTGTAGTCCCAGCTCTTGAGAGACCAAGGCAAAGACTGTGTTCAAGAGCAGCTTAGAATACAGAGCAAGTCCAGTCCAACCTAGAGTTCACAGAGAAACCTTGCCTCAAAAAAGAAAACAAAATGAGTGTGGTGGCACACGCCTTTAATCCTGCACTTGGGAGGTAGAAGCAGGCAAATTGCTCTGAGTTCAAGGCCAGTGTGGCCTACATAGGAAGTTCCAGCCCAGCTGGGGCTACAGAGAGACCCTGTCTCAAAAAGACCAAAAAACAAACAAACAAACAAAACAAAATGAAAAAACGCCTTTGAAGCTCTGTGAAAACTGGTTCTAATGTATCAGTGCACAGTGCTCACAATTAGATTTTATATGACCAACACCTCTCTGCCTTTATTTAATTACTTTTATATCCCCCTGAATTTACAGGTAAACGTTAGTGATACACGGTTCCAAGTGATGTATACTTCCCACTTGTTCAATTTGGATCCCTCTGATCCTAATTTCAAGAAAACAAAAGCTATGGAAAAAATTCTTGAGGAGAAAGCCCGGCAAAGAGAACAAAAAGAACAAGAACTTTCTCAAGCAGTAAAGAGAGAGCAGGAGCCTGCAAAGTCCTCACAGAAGAAGCTGGTTGATCCCGCCTTGTCAGTGCTGGTTAAATCTGTGAAAAGCAAAACAGAGCAGTTTCAAGCCAGAAAAAGACAAAGAGTCAAATAACTGGGTACTGTTTTGTATGATTGAGAAGGCTGGGAATGATGCCCTTTCCAGACTGAAAATACCCTTCTCTGAGCATTGTAAAAGTTTTCTCCATAAAGAGTTGTTCTATTTAATTGTACATAGTTGACAGGTTTATACTGTCTTATTTCTCCAGATTCATAATAAAATAATGTAATCTGTAAGATTTAGAAGATTTTTGTGGTGTATGAATTGCTCTCATGTATATAAATGCACCACATACAAATAGTGTCATGGAGACCAGAAGAGGGAGTTGGATTCCCTCCTGAAGAGGGAGTTTCAGATGGTTGTGAGCTGCCATGTGGGTGCTGGGAGGTGATCCCAGGTCCTCTGGAAGAGCAGGGAGTTCTCTAACTATCTCTTAACCTCAGAACCATCTCTCTAGCCCCTAAGTCAGCTTTTTTTCTTATATATATATATATATATTTTGAAATTTTGAGAATTTCATAAAATCTATTTTGATCATATTGAGAACTCCTCCCCTCTCTACCCTCTGCCCCTTACTGCCCTTCTGCCTGATTTCATGTCCTCTTATTTTTTTTCCATAATGCCTATCAAGCCTAATGTGTATCTCCAAATGCCCTTTGGTATGGGTCCATCCCCTGGAACCTGGTCAATCTACCCAGCATCACACCCTTAAAGAAAAATCATTCTCTCCCAGCAGGTAGTTGCCAGTAGTTCTCAGCCTGAGTTGGGGCTTCTTGCCCACCTCCCTATCTTTGTGCTGGGAATTTGTCTAGCTTGAGCTTATGCAGGTCTTGTACATGCTGTCACAACTGTTGTGAATTCATATGAGCATCTGCCCAGACATCTGGAAAACTTTTTCCTGTTGATCATCCACCACCTCTGGCTCTTACAATCTTTCCTTTCCCTCTTTGGCAATGATCCCTGAGCCTTGGGAGGCAAGGGTCTGATATATGTGTCCCATTCAGGACTAAGCACTCATATTCTCTGCACATTGACCAGTTGTGGATCTCTGTGTTAATCATCATCTGCTACAAGAAGATTCTCTGATGAGAGCCGAAAGATGCACTAATCTATGGGTTTAATGATAAGTCATTAGGAGTTCGTTTAATACTATATCCATTTGGGCAGATGTGATGGCACATGCCTTTAATCCCAACATTCAGGAGACAGAGGCAGGCAGATCTCTGTGAGATCAAGGCCTACCTGGGCTACATAGTGAGTTCCAGGCCAGCTGTGGCTACAGTGAGACCGTCTCTCAAACACCAAAAAAAGTACTGTATCCATTTAGCAGAATAATAGTAGGTTTTCCCCTATGACCTATTACCTGTCTAGCCACAGGTTCAAGGCCTAATGTCCATGTCAGGTATGGGTTCCATCATGTGAAACAGGCTTTAAATCCAAGCAGTTGGTTTCTCCCATAACATTTGTGCCACTATTGCATTAGTGGGCATATCTTGCCAGGCCACAGGGTTCATAGCTGGGCAAGGTTGATGATTACTTTTCTCTTATGGTAGCATGTATCATACCTCCTAGCATTATGAAAGCTAGCCAGTTGAGATGAAGCTTTGCGGTCAATACTAGCTTGATTTCTCCTTGTTTCTTCTGTGATTCACATATGAATTGTCTTCAGCAGTAGTCTTACTGTCAAGTTCTAATGGGTAACCAATAGCAAAGGCAATAGCTATTTTTTTCAGGGTCTGTGGTACTTCTGGACATTCATTCCTGGCATTGAGCTTTTTATTTGCTATCCTGTGTTATCTGATAGGGGCATTGTCCCCTAGTTGTAGGGTAATGCCACTTAAACTTTGTATATGTATATACTTAACCTTATGTATATATGTGGTAAGTTTCCATATGACTTTTTCAAAGAGCCTTATGTTAGTTTTCCTCCCCTTACTCCCCGCTTCGCCCTGCTCTTCCATTCCCCACCCCATTTTACTCTTTCTACTCCATTACTCCCCTTTTATATCACTGCATTCTATCTCCCCTACTATGATGTCATGCTCCCATGGCCCGTTACTAGTTTCCTGACTTCTATGGATTTTCCAATTGAAATGTGAATATCTAAAAATTGAAAGCTAGCATCCACTATGAGAGAGAACATGATCTGTTCATAGTTCTGGGCCTAGGTTACCTCACTCAGGATGGTTCCAGTTCCATTCATTTTCCTGAGTTTTTGTTTTTGTTTTTGTTTTTTTCTTTTGGTCTTTTTGAGACAGTTTCCCTGTAGCTCCAGCTGGCCTGGAACATGGTATGAAGACCAAGCTGGCCTTGAACTCACAGAGATCCACCTGCCTCTACCTCCTGAGTGCTGGGATTAAAGGCAGGCACCACCACATCCAGCTTCATTTTTCTTAACAAATGACTAATATTCTGTTGTGTAAATGTACCATATTTTCATTATCCACTCATCAGTTGATGGACACCTAGGTTGTTTCCATTTCCTGGCCATTGTGACTGGAACAGCAATAACTTGGATGAACAGGTATAGATCCTCTGTAGTAAGATATAGAGTCCTTTGGGTATATGCCTAAAGGTATAACTGGGACATGTGGTAAATCTCCTAGCTTTTTGAGGAATCTCCATTTTGGTTTTCATTATGGCTACACTAGTTTTCAGTGCCACCAGCAATGAATAAATGTACTCTTTTTCTTACATGCACACCAGCATTTGTCCTTGGTGTTTTTGCTTGTTTTGTTTTGATTTTTGTCTCTTAGCCATTCTGAGTGGAGTAAAATGAAATCTCAAAGTTTTAATTTGCATTTCCCTCATGACTAAAGATGTTGAACATTTAAAATATTTCTCAGCCATTTGCCTTTCATCTTTTGAGAACGGTTATTTCCTTGCCCCAGTCTGTAGTGGGGTTGTTTTAAGTTTAATTTTTCCCATTCTGTAAATTACCCCTTCACTCAAATGATGGTATCCTTTAACAGAAGCTTTTAACTTTTATAAGGTATCATTTCTCAGTTGTTTGTCTTAATGCCTGCAGTATTGGAGTCCTGTTCAGAAAATTCTTTCTTGTGCCTTTAAGTTCTGGTATATTCCCTGCTTTTCCCCTCTTAGCAGATTCAGGGTATCAGATATTCTGTTGAGGTCGGTGATCCATTTGGAATTATTTTGTGCAGGGTGAGAGACATGAATCTAATTTTATTCTTCTACATATAGCCATCCAATGACTGGCAAGCCAGGATTGGCGGTGCACGCCTTTAATCTTAGCACTCCTGGTCAACCTAGGGAGTTTCAGGTTAGTTGGGGCTATAGGAAGACCCTAGCTCTAAAAAATAAAAACAAAAAACCCAAACAAACAAAAAACTCCAACAAACCCCTCAAAAACATTGAAAAAAGAAACTGCAGAAGATAATGGAAGCTGGAAAGACCTCCCATGATGCTCATGGATTGGTAGGATTAATGTGAAAATGGCCATACTAAAAGCAACAGAGTCAACAAAATTCCCATTAAAATTCTAACACAATTCTTCACAAAAATTGAAAAATCATCTAAAATTTCATATGGAAGCACAAAAACCCCAAGACAGCCAAAACTATCCTAACTATAAGAGCTAGTGGCATCACCATCCCTGATCTCAAATATACTACAGAGCTATAATAATAAAAACAGCATGGTACAGGCATAAAAACAGACACGTTGATAAATGGAATAGAACTGAAGAGCCAGATTCAAGTCCACGTAGTTACAACCTCTAATTTTTGACAGAGACCAAAAATACAAGTGGCCTCTGTGTGCTGAGATTAAATGCATGTGCTACCATACCCAGTCCCTAACGTAGCTTCTTAAGACACCACTTTTAATCCCAACACTTGGGAGGCAGAGGCAGGCAGATCTCTGTGAGTTCAAGGCCAGCCTGGTCTACATAGCAAGTTCCAGGCCAGCTGGGGCTACAGGGAGACCCTATCTCAAAAAGACCAAAAAAAAAAAAAAAAAAAAAAAGACAATCTGTGCAAAAATAGAGGACTCTGTCTCCTTTTCTATGTAAAGATTAGAGACAAACTGAAAAAAGGTACATGTAATACATTCTTTGAATCAGGAGGTAGATTTAAGTAGCTATTAAAATAATTTATTTTTCAAGCTGGGTATGGTGGTGCACTCCTTTAGTCCCAGCATACAGGAGGCAGAGGCAGCAGATCTCTGTGAGTTCAAGGCCAGCCTGGGTCTACAAAGCGAGTTCCAGGACAGCTGGGGCTACAGGGAGACCCTGTCTCAAAAAGACGAAAATAACAATAGTAATAATTTATCTTTCTAGCTATAAAGGATGGAAGCTAAGAACTTTTTTACATGTCTTACTTAGTAGTTTGCTTTGGAATTAGCTTATGAATCGAAGTACACAATGTTTTACTATTTTGTCTAGCATCAGTTTGTTTCTTTTTATGCACCTCACTTTTTATGCACCTCAAACTAGTCTCTGGAAAAAATATTTGACAATATGACATTAACCCTAAGAGGACAGTTCGTGGAAATGCTGTTTCTTGTTTTCAGTGTTCATAATTACATTTGAAATGTTCTTGAATTATGCAATTATTTTTCTATTTGTAGCAACAAAAAAGTTCTCCTGTCCTTAAGACGTTCAGAATGCTTTAGAAGGGTGGGTATCCTGTTATAGAATTTAAAGAAACCCCACTTCTTTTTAAAAATTTATTTTACAGTTCATCTTCAAGAATACTACCCTGGGATGTCATCTGGTCTAGATTTTATGAACTGTTAACTGACCAATTAGACAAGAAAATTAGATATACTACTTGTAAGTAAAGGGAAGTAAGACAAAATAGCTTGGGCAAATTAAAAATAGAGTCTTGGGGGCTGGAGAGATAGCTCAGCAGTTAAGAACACTTGTTCTTGCAGAAGACCCGGGTTCAACACAGGTGCACTTACCTACATGCAGGTAGGACACGCATACACATAAAAATTTTAAAAAGGCAGTTCAAGTTCTCCAGGTTTGTGCTTTTGAGACAGGGTCTCCCTGTAGCCCCAGCTGTCCTGGAACTCACTATGCAGACCAGGTTGGCCTTGAACTCACAGAGATGGGCCTGCCTCTGCCTCCTGAGTGCTAGGATTAAAGGTGTGCACCACCATGCCTGGCCCTAGCTGTGCATCTTTAAAAAGCTTGGTAAAGCACATTTTATACTTGGTGGCACACATCTTTAATCCCAGTACTCAGGAGGCAGAGGCAGGTGAATCTCTG